TATGGAGATGTTACGGTCAGGTTACAGAATTCATCGGGGTTTGTAACTGTTAAATCAACTATTCCGACGGTTATATGATGATCTAACGGTTACAAACTCTGATGAAATAGTTTCGACCGTAACATTTATAATCACCTAACTTGTACGAACCAATTCCAATTAAGCAACTCACATGCGCTTCACTTCACTTTATTATAAAGCCACATAACTGACAATATTGAGAGTGACTTATCCCATATCCTCCTTTTCTTTAAGGAAAAAAAAATAAATAAATAAAAGGGAAGTAAAAGGCGATAATAAAAGTAATTAGTTTACCACATTTTATATTATAAAATATCATATTTTTATCTATGTTATTTTTTCAAGTATGCCATTTCAGTTTAAAATATGTATATATATGAAAAAATATAAAAATATATACACATTTTTTTTCTTGCATATAAAAAATATGTATATATATGAACCCCAATGACAAATTTTCTTGCATCAACTGCACTATAAAATAACACAGTGAAAACAATTTTAAAAGGATGCTGTTTCATTTGTTTTTACCTTGATAAACATCATTAACCCCAATCTTATGAAGAAGTAAGTGGGTAAATTAGTGGCTGGGGTTAAACATTTCTATAATTTTTACCCTGATTGATTAAAAAGATTGAATTTTTTGGCCTTTTAAATAAACAAATGTACTTATAGTGTACTTCATTCAATCTGTTTATAATTCATCCTTATATATTAATTCAAAACGTGTTGAGCCTAGGTGGCAGATTCTCACGCTTCGGATGCTGACATAGCGAAAATCTATGCTTCGTGATTTTGTTTTTATATTATATTTGCTTTGGAATTAGGTTTGGTATTAGACATAAATAACTTTACATATATATTCATTAACTCAACACCCATGTTGTACGTGGGTATTAGTACTAGTATGTTTATGAAATTGAAACGACATTTCTAAATGAATTTACCGAAAACGCAATAAAATCAAGAAATTGAGGTAAAATGACAGTCAATATCTTCAGCATTAACAGTGAATGATTTTTGTAGTGCAATAGGCAAACTATAGTTAATTCCGGTTAGATAGAACATTTAATATGTCAATATCCAATTTATTATATCATGCAGCTGGATAAAGAAAAAAGAGATATATAGCCTTAATTATCTAATAAAAATTGCGAAAACAAAATAAATAAATTCTCCATGCGGAATGATATGGGACGACTGATAATTCAAGACAACTTGGGGCCTATAGCTAACAATTCACAGCGTAACTGTTAGACGAATCGACCCATCATATATATATATATATATATATATATATTGTTGATAAAAATGTATAATTGTACTGAGAAACACCAAAATCATGCATATATGTTGAAAAAAGTATGATTGTCTAACAGTTAGATCTGACTAACCACAGTCTTACAGATAGATATATAAAGATTATTTGAAAACACTTCTTAAATAGACTTTTGAATGCAAATGTTCCTTTTGATAAATATTTATGTTTTGATGATGAATTAGGATTGAACTTCTCCTAATTTGTTTCTCTAAAAAGTCAATTATAGAGCGGTAAATGATGAAGAATTTTGGAAATTTCCATTTTAATGATTTTTTTTTTCTTTTTTTCTTTTCTTTTTTTTTTTTCAAGAGTGC